GAGTTCTGACAAAATGTGGTCCACTGGAGAAGGAAATGGCAACCCACTCCAGGATCCTTGCCAAGAAAACCCCATGGACAATATTGGTTCATGGGGTCACGAAGAGTCGGACACAACTTAACTAAACAACAACAAACAGTAATGTATGGGTTGATTTAATAAATAATTTTCTGATGTATAACACACTCTTTGGGGCCAGCATTCCTAATCTTTCCAATGTCAGTGTTTTCAATCTCAGTTCTGATGATACTCACTAGGTCAGTGTTTCTCAACCTTGGCAACTTGAAGATGTGTGGACTTCAACTCTCAGAATTCCCCAGCCAGCATGGGGAATTCTGGGAATTGAAGTCCACACATCTTCAGGTTGCTAAGATTGAGGAATACTGCACTAGGTTTACACAGCACATTGGTTTATTTAACCACAGGTTGTGGACTAAGCCATGACTGTCTTGGCTCTTATCTCAAGCTACGTCATAAATCATAGCTTGCAAACCACAGTGGCTGGGTTCCCACTGCATGCTAAAGCTAAGAAAGTTTCATTAGAGCTCAGTTTGTTGTGTGAACTCAACCTCTAGGGCTCAAATCTTAAGAGAAGTTACTGAAGGAAGGGAAATTCCCCATTCTTCTTCCATTCTATTTCAATCACCTATGTTACCTTCTCTTTGGACATTTAGGGGAGCTTTCCTGAACAATATGGGATGCCCCAAATGGAATGGAATAGCTCTAATTCTCCCCCTCCCGGTAGTTCTATATGCCCATTGAACTTCCCCATTGTAAGGTACGAACAGATGAGAGGAAGAGGAAAGGAAAGGGCAGAAATCACCACCACCACCACCACCACCACCACGAGAAAAGGCCCTTTGAGAGGGAGGCTCTTTGGGAAATATACTACATTTCTGCTCCTTTTTAAACTTAAAAAGGGTATCACTTCATGGTTTGCCTCTCTCCCCATCTATATCAATCTAGCATAGTAGGTTACTAATGATATTTGGTGAACTTGCAAGAGGGGTGAACTTGCAAGGGGGATTAAACCCAGGTCAACTTTGACCCTGACATCCCACATCTCTGGCAGGTCTTCTATGGGTCTTTATTTTTTATTATAGGTCATAGGCTCAACAAGCACCGGGACCAGGTTGTTAATGGAGCCCTGGCATGTGTGTGCTTGCCACATTGGCAAGGGGATTTTTGTTATAGGGGCCTTAACTTTTTTTTTAATTGATTGTGATTGAGTATTACATGGTTACATTTTGTTCACTGCCCAGAGTTAGATGGGTGACCAGATACATTTGTTGTCCTCCATGGTTCAGAAGCACTACACTTTCTCTAAGACCTCCTCCCTCTTTCAAGGATGTGAAAGCATGGCAGATGCTCACTCACAGGCCAGGGCATCCTTTCCAATATCCACACAAATAATCAAGAGTTGGTACCTAATCCAAGGGTCAAAAACCAGGCAGGAAGGAGGAGGAATCTCTCCCTGGAACAAGGGAGCAATAGGCATGCTATGAACAATTCAGCAGAACTCTGGAGAAGACGCCCCAACCAGCTATACAGACATATCCTCAGACACTCCATGCTGTGTCTAGTAAACTTAGGTTCAACAGGGATGAAGATGAGTCAGTAATGATGAAGGGGTCAAAAGCACCCTATCATTTTTCCATCAATATTTATAATCATTATTTCTCATCTGGAAGAGTTCAGCCTCTTCCAGAACTATCTGCAGGGTAGGACCAACAAGCAGAGAGCAAGGAACAGATGGACAAAGGTAAAAGGTGGTGTAACAGCAGTCCATAACTGGCTTATTTGATGTTCTGGATTATCAATTTCAATGCTTGGTCGTACTCTAGTATGCAAAGGTACCAGCTTTTTCACCTCCAAGCACGAGGCATCCTTTCAGCTTCTACTCTAGATTCTAAGACAGAAAGTTACCAGAAGTTAAAAAGGCCGGATTCTGTATCCACTGGCTTTGCATGCTCACAGAACCACAACACAGATTCAGCCGTGGGCAAAGCAGTCCAAGTGAGAACATACTTGCACAGCGCCATGAACTGAACAGAAAAATAAAAGAGAGCATCACATAGTGCCAAGCTAGCTTCAACCATAATAATGGTGATGATGTAAGTTTTAGATATAGACTAAAATACACCAAAGACGCAACAGGAAATAACATTGCCACAGACTCCTATCAAGTATAACCTGTAAATCTAGTATAATTATAGACAGTAAGATTTATTTATATATTTTGTACATGTATCTATTGAGATGTTTACTTGAACTATAATTGTTTCAACTAAGTACTGGTGCTTTTCGTATCAATTATTTTACTATCTAGCCAACAAATCAAGTGTCTCTACTGAATATTTTTATTTTGCTTTGCTTCCGTTGAGATCACTTTTTTGTTTGACTTGTCCTTCCTTTTCATTTATTTATTTTGATTTGGCTGGTTCTTAATGGCAGAGACAAAAAAGTGGGGGGGGGGGGAAACAGCCAATTTAGTTATATATTGACATCCTTATTGGACACTACATCAGAAGAGAAGGTGTTCTGCAAAGGACAAATCACAAAGTATTTTCTATTCCAAAGTTAGAAAGAAGGCAAAGTCCATTAATTCAGGAAAAGGCACCCATGCTTTCAAAAGAATGATAATTTGGAAAGGGAACAACTGAAGATGAAAGTCAGTGTTTCTTCCAGTCTAGAGTGGAAAACCATGGAACGGAGAAGTTTCCAATGCTTTTAAAACAAGCGCATCAATAGTATCAATCAATCAAAAACAAGTGGCCTGCCCAAAAGATGGATTATATCAAATCGTTCTGAATCTAGTTCTGATTTTCTTTATACTGACTGATGGGAGGGAAAAGGAAACAGACCACAGAGCAAATGATGCACAACCAACACCAAGGTCAACTTATGGTCCAGAGCCTTGACACCTGAGTAACAGCTTCCTGGCTGATACCACAGGTAAATGAAGGAACAGCAATCTATACAGAAGAACTGCATTCTTCCTACTTACCCCCAAAGCCCCATAGAGTTGAACAACATCCAGGCCAAGTTAACCAGTATACAGCCAATACACTTTTTCAACAAAGATCTCAGCCATGTCATGCCAGTCGAGCAGAGAGACCACCAGCATGGGCAGATGGAGCATGCTAGGCTCCCTCTGCCCACAGAGCACAAGGCACTACAGAATTTGTAAGCCAACACTGCCTCGTTCTTAGTTATCAGGGCTGTAACCAAGAGTGAAGCCGTGTTGACTCACAAATGCAACAGTGGCCCAATTAAACAAGTATGAAGGAACAGCAATCCCAAGCAAGGGCTGGCAGTTGGCTTTCCACCAGGGTCTTTTAATGAGATCACCGAATGAGTTGTGCCTTGATTCTCCACCCCGTTCCTCCCCACCCCCACCCCAATTTTTCCACTGACTCTAACTGGTCTTTAGAAGCTACAAGCTAGAATAAAAGAGTAATGGCTGTAATTACAAAGTCTGTATAATCCCATCAGCTGGTTCTGCTCTGGGCAGTGGAAGGTTGCCTAGTGTTAAAGGCAGAGCAGACAGCAAGTGGAGGAACTAGCCTTCTTACACACAATCATTATGGGCCAAGCGTAGTTACCAAGGCTGTGAAAGTACAAGGAAGTAACTGTAAATTCCAAAGGCCTACCTGGAGAACAAAGTTAACGTTGAAAATATTTGTAAGATCCTTGGAGCCACTAGGATGTAGAACCACAATCTCAAGAAGGTGAGGTTCTAGGGGTGCACCACCTTTACTGAGGACTTCAAATTTAGTGGGGAAAGAAACTTTCCAATTTCTGAATGTACATACTGTTTGGCAAGCAGGAGGCCTCCTGGTGCTTTCCATCCAGGGCTGGGCTCCACTCATACATTCCTAGCATTTCATAGATAATCAGCAACTGGTACTGTCAACAGTAGAGGCGGGGAAGGCCAGGAGGTGCTCCTTGCAGGCTGACTAAGAGGTAGGTGAGTAAAGCACCTGGTACTATAGCTTACGCTAAGAATAAGTTACAGAGGAGTGGAGTTGATTCTTTGGACCACTATGGTTTCTCCATGTTCTTGTTAAAGTTAAGAAAATGCTAGTTGCAAACCTACTTGTACCAGGATACCTTAGCAACAGCAACTCATACCCTGACCATCACCCCTGTAGACCATGCAGGGCACTCTACATGGGGCTGCCTTTGGAAATGGCTTGGAAACTACAGCTAGCAGCAGTTGGTGGGAAAACCTTGCCACTGTATAGTAACTCCAATTTTCAAGTTGCTGCACTGATTACCTTTAAACCCCCATACAGAGCAGATACCAGGATGGCTTGTCAAAATTCAGTTTGGCTGTCTGGTCCAAACATCTGGAAAGACCCTGTTGAGAATCCCTCTTCCCTTGAAAAGTACATGGAGCATGGCTTGGCAAGAAGCCTTCAGGAACACATTCAGTTCCATCCCATCTTACATTTCAGAAGCAGGTTAAAAACTACATCATGCCCATATACTTTAGGGCCCAGTTGGCTGTCCTTATCCATCCTAGGAACTGTTTAACTTATATTTGCTTTTATTGTCTTTGCGGGAGGTTTTCCCTTGTGCTCTGTGGTTCACAATCTAAAATCCATCAGGCTACAACTAGGGTCAAATAAATAAAAAAGGATAGAAAACAGAGATGCACGTCTTCATCATGATAAAAGGATCTGGTCTAGGTATTATACTGAACAATGTAGAGATGCAAACGGGGGGGGGGGTGTTGAGAAACATGATCTCTCCCCCCTGTGCTCTTTTTGGAATTAATCAGGAATAAAAAAAAATCTCCCATCTCCACCCTTCCCAGTATAAGTCAGTTTGATGTTACGAGTTCTACTAGACATGGTCCTCTTTCAAGAGAGAGGCAGATCAGCACTGCTTCTAGAGGAAAGCTTAGGTAGGAGTGATGGCCAGAAACTCAGCACTATGGAGCCTATCCCAAGAAGCTAACTACATGAAGGTTGTTGGATGGGCACAGATGTTTTCCCCATTTGAGCTGCTAGCTGAACAATGGTTCTGGCTTCTCATTTGCTTCTCTCTTACAACCAGTGGAGATACTCATGTAGACTTTCTTCTGCTGAAAAAGGTTCCAACTTGCTCCACTCTTTCTGCAACCTCTTAGCTTCAACTTGTGTTTTGTCAGGTTTGAAAGCCCTTTTTAATTAAGTCAACGCAAACCCTAAAGCCTGCACACACACACACTCAAAAAATGTTCCAAAAAATGTACAAACAAAACTTCAGAAGGTGCAAGAAGCAGCACATCTTCAGATGAATGTAGTCAAACCAGCAAGCTATCTATGTTTGCTGACAATCAGCCCATAAATTAATTGCTACTCCAGGCTGAACTGGAGAATAACACCCAAGCAATTTGGGGACAAACTGTGAAAACATAAAGCAAATTTTAAAAACCCACACCTTTGGTGTCAAAACATTTTACCTGCTGCCTCTATCTTCTTTTTTTTTTTTTTAAAAACTTGTTTGTTGTATTTAACATTGCATAATCACCATGAATATTTAACTGAAAAGGAATAAAATTAAAGCATATTTAGAACTCGACAAACACATTGAAGCTAACCACAGTGGAGTTCCTTTAGCTTTCACCTAACATCTTACATGAATCCATGGCTTGTAAATAATGATTTATGGTTTGCTGTCATGTGACCACCCAGCCAACTGCATGGTTAAGCAAACCATGGTTTAATGCAAAAAGCGAACCTAAGTTCTACCTGTAACTGTCAGTTTGCCTAAGGAATAATTTGCTTAGAGATTTATAGGGACAATTATGAAGGAGACAGATTTTTAGAGAGCAACATGAACTGCGAGAGACAATCAAGGCCAGCAAGGAGACAAAGAATAATTTTCCTAGATGTTCCTACTGGCTTGTTAGCAATGGAATATGAGCCTAGGCAAGTAAATCAACAAAAAACATCCATACTAAAGAACCCACCTACGAGAGGATCCAAACTATGACCTTTTCTTCAATTGAAGGTTGAAGTGGTACTGTCTATACCAAGACTGCATCCGCTGATTTGAGAATTAGCTCAGGGTTTCAAAGCATCCTAAATAAATCTCAGAGGGCAACGGGGAAAACTTCCCAAAGGCTGGCACCACATTCACAGAAGGAAGAGGAAAGCTGATTAGATTTGATTTATATTTAGCCTGCTTCTTTGTTCATTCCAAGCTTAGCAGCTTGAATAGACGACTCCAAATTCTCAAACGCAACCCTTTGGAAAACCTGGTGCAGTTTCTACTAAGTCAAATGAGTCATAAATCCTGATTTAATCAAAGTCTGGCATGAATCACCCAGGGATTTTTTTAAGGGGGAGAGGGGGAGATGAGCTAAACTTTCTGTGAGAGAACAGCAGACTAAAGACATTTTTGAGAAATGGGAGTGCGAGTCTTGAGCTGTCTTTCCATCCACACCCAGGGGCTTCCCTCACCAGCCCTCCAGGGTTTCATATGTATGCTATAAAAAGAATGAGGTTATTTTCAACGCTAGCAAAACAAATGTGAGCCAACATTTTATTGACCTCAAAAGGGAGAAATGGGAAGATAGAAAGGAAGTAACTCCAAAGAGGGGGTGAATATACTTAGTCTACAGAGCAGGGATGGTCAACATGATGACCAGGACCATCTCAGTGTATTCCCAAGCATCTTCATTAAAGCCTATCCTGTTCTTATCCCATAAATTTACAGTATCAATGAAGTAGCAGGAAGCCAACCTGCAAAGCACCAGCTGAAGCATCAGCTTTACCACCATTACCTCTGAGCTCGACACAGGCCATGGCTGCATTCTTAGAGAATGAATAGAAGTTGGGGTTGGTTTAAATGTGTGCTCGCCTACCCCGAAAAAAACAACAAAGCAAGCTTGGGGGACACCCATACACAAGCGGCTAGATTCATAGACGCTACAGAAGCTGGTCTTTGTAGTTACAAGGGCTCTTTAATCCCTGCAATAAAAAGTTATCTATTCAAGCCAAGTCTTTGACTTTCGCATGAGAACTCTGGAGTGCAATTTGAGTTCCTAGAGCAAGAGAAAATTATTGTAATCACCTGGATGTAAACCTTGAAAGCCAGCATCGCAGGGTTAGAGGGAATGATAGGGATTAACTTCGCCAGTTTACTTTCAGGTAAATTGTTTTGTTTTGTTTTTTAACTTGTAACACGCCAGTGATTTTCTTCTCATGGCAAAGAGACTGCCTTCATTTTTGCAGAGTAATCCTATTTGAATGTCAAGGCTTTCAAAGCAGCCCTGATTTCTCCAAGAGCAGTGTGCTAGAAATGCCTAGCTGTCTCCTTGCAGAACATTTGGAGAAGGCAGGCAGGGGACAATCTAATATGAATGCGAACTGCTGGCATGGTGGCTTTGCAAAAGAAGGCGCCGTCGTGCCCAGAGCATGACATTTGCAACCTCAGTGTGCTTGTCCCCAGGCCTCCCCTACCTTGTGGAGCATAACACATTCTCTACATGCATGAGAGTCAGTTGCAGGTTCAGTCCTTGCTTGCTTTGAAAGATTCTTTTTAAGATAGGGGTAACAGTGATTGTCCAGAATGCCGTAACCCAGTGTTTCTCCACCGTGGCAGCTTGCAGATGTGTGGACTTCAACTCCCAGAATTCCCCAGCCAGCATGGCTGGTTGGAGAATTCTGGGAGTTGAAGTCCACACATCTTAAATTTGCCAAGTTTGAGAAACACTGGGTTACAGCATTCTGGACAATCACTGTTACCCCTATCTGCCCTAACCTAATGAAACACAATGCCAGGACTCACCACCACATACATGACAAAGAGGAGGATTTTTCCTTGAGTTGCTCACTTGCCTGCTTCTCTGGTTTATACCACAGGACTACATCACAAACAAGAACCCTGGAAGCCAGCAGAAAGACTTGCAGTGGGCAAATCAGAAAGAAATCAGGATCCCGGGGAACAACAATGCCTCTTATTCTTCTTAAATGACCATGAGCTCACATTTCAGTCTCTCCGTCGCCTTTCCGGCCTTCCACGGAAATGAAAGAAACCTGGATGATGGTGGTGGAGAAACCCAGCCACCCAGTCAATTTAGCCAGTGGGAGTGATAAGATCACAAACTTTGGGAGGGTGAGAATGAAACAAGGGAATGGGATGGGAGGAAAGGCAGGGCTCCCTTTTAGCAGAGTAGATGAGGCTTTGTTTTTGAAGAAGGTATAAAAGGGCCTCTCTCTTCCTCCTGTCTGGCTAAGTCCTTGTAAGGAAGCAGAACAATGGGAGGAAGTTGGGGCGTCAACAGGAGTTCAGCAGAGCTAAGGCGCCTGCAATGTGTTCTTCCTGCCGCATCAAGCATATGTTACACCACCTTCTTCCGGCTCTGCTGGTTTGCTGAAACTCCTCTTTAAGGCGTCTTCTTCCTCCAGGCACTTCAGCGTCTCAGTCCTAAGGCCAGTAATTTGCAGCTGCAGTCCCTGTTCAGTCGTGGAATCCCTGAGCAACTCAGGGAAAACTTCGTGGGGCTTTGCCTCTGTGGGTTTCCTCTCTTTTCGTAAAATGAGAATAACATGTAAAGTTCTCCAGTTGCACGGAGAACATTCTGAAGCACTCTGCAGAACACTCAATGCTCTTAAGGATTCTCTCTATCCTTACTCTATCCCCCACTGCAAAGATGTCCTGCTGTATTATGCATA